TACATTTCTCTGTACTTCTGCTAAAAAGGTACCATTCACTCAACAGTATCTAGCATTGATTTGCATATTTTAACCTTTTTATAAATTGAATGGTGTGTATTGGAGTGGAATGTAGAGACCAGCTTCCAGGGCAATATCAGACACATATTTGGAGAGAAGATGTGAGAGGCAGGGAGCTGAGTCTTGGAACCTGCAGCTTATTGGAAGGGGCGGGTCAGGGAAGGGAGCACAACCCAGTGAGGGCATCCAGAACCAGGAAAGAGGTCACACATGTCAGTGTGACTTAAATAACAAGGCCCCCTTACTTGCGTACAGACTCTGGTTTAAAAGCCACTTTCACATTCATTTTCTTCTTTTTTGTATTTGAGAAATAATCATGGCAGATACTATCCTTATTCTATGAATGAGGAAACTGGACCTTAGGAATATAATAATGCAGGAATTTGCATCAACTACACCTGAAAAAATCGCAGAAAACCACGAATTCCCAAGAAAACTAGGAAATCCTGGGCTCTCCTTGGGCACCAGTTTTGAGACATAATGCTATGAGCTCCACGTATTCATGTTTATTTGTAAATAACTTACATGGATCAGACTTTGTAATATTGTTTTTTTTAACCATAAGAAAAAAATGAGCATATTGTCCAATAAATCTTTTCTTAGCATTGAGCATGCCAGTGGACTGCTGCAGATTAGATACCAACTATGGATTACAAACCTCTGGAGAATCTTCCAGAAAATAGAAAAATACAGCATTGTTTACTCAAAAATGTTTTATTTAAAAAAAAAAAAAGGATGTGCCACGAGATGGATTTCATTCTCTCTTTTAAAGGATTGCTTAAATTGTTTGGTTACTTTCTTCCTGGGCAACTGATATCAAATTGGCTAGCAAATGAAACGATGAGGAAATTTCAGGAACAATCTAGCACCTTCTGACGGTATAGACATTAGAAGTGTACTTTTGAATAAAGATGCCATTTTTAAAATGCCATGTAGTTGGTAAAGAGACAATACTATCAATCTGTGTTTGAAATTCTGGACTTTTTTGTATCAGCTTGATCACCCACTTAAAGGTGGATTTAGAATAAGATCTTGTGTGCCTTCCTTGGGGGGTGGTTTTGTGGCTAAGTGGTTCATCTGGTGTGGAAGGGGTGAATCAATGGGAGGTAGCTGGCACGGTCTGCTAGGGGCATAAAGAAGCCTTTGCCTGTGCTATGGCATGTCCTATAGCAAGCTCCCTCATGGTTGGTAGGGCTTCTCTGGCATTTAAAACTTCAAAAGGGGAGAAGGGGGAGTAAACTTTAGATTAGTTGCGAGTACACTCTAATGGGAAAATATTTACTGGAGCAAGCAGGAACCCTTGGGTTGAGGCAGCTACAAACTTTGGAAGATGTCCTGGGCCACTGTATTCTCAAGGCTGTGGCTTGTTGCCCAGGGTCCATAAGGGTGGCGAAGTCCTTCAAATTTCGTTCATTCTTTCATTCACACATCCAAGGATACATGTCTTCATTCACTCCATTTCATCATCAGTAAAGCAGAGATAATGATAGTATTGGCGTCGTGGAGTCATGATGAGGATTAAATGAGATATTCTTGGAAAAGCTGTCGGCACAGTGCCTGCCCCTAATTTAGTGCTTCATCAATCTTAGCTGTTGTTATGTGGTCATAATCATGATTCATTCCTCCATCAAGTCTGTGCTAGGCACTGGGGATGTAGAGCAGAGCAAAAGGCAGGTTATAGTCAAGGAGCTTACTGTCTAGTTAGTGAAGTCCTTGGGTAACCAGATGATTACTGATGTCTGTAGTATAGTGAAAATATCATTCAGGCTTTATTGTGGAAGAGGCCTTGGTTTACGTCCTGGTTACTGAGCGATGTAGGCTGAACGTCACAGTGGCTATGAGCCTCAGGTCCCCATCTGGAAAATGAAGATGGCGCCTACCCAGCAGGTCGGAGGGAGGTTCAGTGGGATCATGCATGCATGCTCTCTCCCCAACCTGGCACTGTCCCATAATACTTGCTCGGTAAATGGTAGCTGGTTTTTGTTTTTGTGACGTTTTTATTGAATTAAAACAGTCAGAAAAATACACAGATCATGATACAGCTTAATGAAATATTGACTACTCTTGTGTAACTGTGAAATTTTGAATCTTATGTAACCATTTCTCAGATCAGAACTAGAACACTAGTGGCATCCCAAGAGTCCTTCTTGTGGCGCGCTGCTCACTTGCTGCCCCTCCTCCTCCCCAGTCACCACTATCCCAAGTCTAATACCATAGACTATTTTCCCTGTTTTTGAACTTTACATAAATAGCTTTGTCCGATATGTACTTTTTTGTATCTGGCTTTTCTTCAACGTCATGTTGGTGATATTCATCCACATTACAGCATGTGGCAGCAATTTATTCATTTTTCATTGGAGTATAGTATTCTATTGTATGAATATTCCACAACTTATTCATTCTACTGTTGATGAACCTTTGGGTTATTTCCTCTTTGGGGCTATTATATAAGAAAGCTGGATGGATGTTCTTGTATGTTTCTTTTTGGTGGACATATTTGCATGTTTCTGTTGGATGCAAGCGTCGGAGTGGAAATCCTGGGCTATAAGCTTTATAGCTGTCTTTATGAGAAAATTGTAGAAGCACAGTGTATGTAGTAAAGGTGAAACGGGTACAAAGAGGGGAGAGTACCCAGCCCTTCCAGGGGGGTTTTAAGGAAAGTTTCACAGAATCTGAATGGGCCATAGAGTGTGAGGGGGAAGTGCCAGGAAGGGGTGAGCGGGCATCCCGGCAGAGGGAGTGGGACTCACAGGCCCCCACTGTGCCTTGACTTGCCATCCTCCTTTGAACCCTGTGCCTGTTGGATTCCTGAGTTCAAGGGTGGCTTAGCTGTGCTGTCCTTTGCTTCTGAAACCTTTTATTTGGCTGCCCTTTCTAAAGTGGGTATGCTGTGGACTTCTGTGCCTAACTCAGGAGTTCCCAGATACCTGCATGGCTACTCCCAGTCTGTGAGCTAATGCCTCTGGGTCTCTGACTCGGAGTCAACATAGCTGGTCTCCTGTGCTGGTCCAGCAAGGCCTGTGCGATGCCAAATGCTCTGTGCCCTCAGAGAGCACACCTGGCTCGGTGCCCCAGCCTACAGACAACACCACCCGCCTGGACCTGGGTCGGGGTTGACTCTACCCTGTGTATCTGAAGCCAGTACTCCCCACCCCCTTCTTTTCTTTCTTTGGATTGTTTTGTTTTGTTTTGTTTTATAACCACTTGTCTCTTTCCCGTTAAGGCAGAGCACACCGGATACATTCCTGTCATTCTGTATTTCTGCTTGTTTCGGCTCTGAGTGGACAAGGCAGAATGCACTTATTGTTCTGAGCTGCTGTTCCTGTACAGGGCAGTGTCAGCTGGGAGAGAGAAGCCAGTCTCTCTCGCCCTCTGGGATCAATCAGGCCTGAACTGAAAATTACCCTTAATTCCAACAAGCTCACAGAGGAGCCTGGAGATGCACTGAGAGGACGTCACACAGATAACAGAGCTGGCACAGACGCTGTTTTAGAAAGGGCCTTCAGGGCATGGTGCGTTCTTTCGGCCTCTCCCAAGCCCCTTCTGAACAACATTCAGAGAGCAGAGAGACGTGTGTCCAGCTAGACAGTGCCTGATGCGTAGTTGAGTGCTCTGAAGTAGTAGCTCTTTTAATTATTGCCTTAGTAATATGACAATACTATTGCCATGTAGGTGCCAATATTTTACGGAGATTTGGAAATACCACATGATATGCTTAAGAGCACAAATTTCAGAATCAGATATATCTGGATTTGAATGCCAACTTAGTTACTATCTTGGACAAAGTGCGTAATACCACTAAGCCTCAGTTTTTCGTATATAAAGTGGAGGTGCTAATACGATCCTTCATAGGATCCTAAAGGCAAGGCTGCAGTGTGGGAAGCAGGTTCTTCTCAGATGTCAAAGAGCACGTGGATCATCTGAGGGTCGTGTTAAAAGTAGAAGATTCAGCAGGTCTGGGGTGGGGCCAGGGTTGGAGAATCTGCATTTCTAACAGGCTCCCAGCAGATCCCCGCTGCTCCTGGTCCTTGGACAGTACCTTGAGTAGCACGAGGTGAAGCCCATGACAGGCCGGTTTGTAGTGGGCGCCCTGGACGTGTTCCGCTGCACCCCGGGTCCATCAGAGTTTAGACCTCACGCTCTGCCGCACCATGGATCCAAGTTAAGACCCCGCGCTTCGCTCCGCTGACCCCCGGGTCCCTCCGAGTTTAGACCCCGCGCTCCGCCGCTCTCCGCCCCGCGCCGCCGCACCCCGGGTCCCTCCGAGTTTAGACTCTGTGCTCCGCCCCGCTGCACCCGGGATCCGAGTTTAGACCCTGCGCTCTGCTCCCCTGCACCCTGGGTCCCTCCGAGTTTAAACTCTGCGCTCCGCCCCGCCGCACCCCGGATTCTGAGTTTCGACCCCGCGTCCGCTCTCCTGCATCCCGGGTCCCTCCGAGTTTAGACCACGTGCTCTGCCACGCCGCACCCCGGATCTGAGTTTAGACCCCGAGCTCCGCTGCCCTGCACCCTGGGTACCTCCGAGTTTGGACCCCGCGCTCAGCCCTGCCGCACCCCGGGTCCGAGTTTGGACCCCGCGCTCTGCCCTGCCGCACCCCGGGTCCGAGTTTGGATCCCGCGCTCAGCCCTGCCGCACCCCGGGTCCGAGTTTGGA